CAGCGAGACCTGGAAAGGCTAGGCAAAAAAAAACTGGATGAGGTTTAACAAAAGCAAGTGTAGAGTCTTGCATCTGGGGAGGAATAATTCCATGCACCAGTACAGGTTGGGGGATGAGCTGCTGGAGGGGAGCTCTGCAGAGAGGGACCTGGGTGTCCTGGTGGACGACAGGTTGGCCATGAGCCAGCAGTGTGCCCTTGTGGCCAAGAGGGCCAATGGCATCCTGGGGTGCATTAAAAAGAGTGTGGCCAGCAGGTCGAGGGAGGTGATCCTCCCCCTCTACTCTGCCCTGGTGAGACCTCATCTGGAGTACTGCGTCCAGTTCTGGGCTCCTCAGTACAAAAAAGACAGGGATCTCTTGGAAAGAGTCCAGTGGAGGGCCACAAAGATGGTGAAGGGCCTGGAGCATCTCTGCTATGAAGAAAGGCTGAGTGAACTGGGTCTGTTTAGCCTTGAGAAAAGAAGACTGAGAGGGGACATGATCCAGGTCTATAAATATCTAAGGTGTGAGGGGCAGAATGGCGAGGCTGGACTCTTTTCAGTGGTGAGTGGAGACAGGACAAGGGGAAACAGCCAGAAACTGCAGCATAGGAAGTTCCGCACAAATGTGCGCAAGAACTTCTTTACAGTGAGGTGACGGAGCACTGGAACAGGCTGCCCAGGGAGGTGGTGGAGTCTCCTTCTCTGGAGATGTTCAAGACCTGCCTGGATGCCGACCTGTGCGACCTGCTGTAGGGAACCTGCTTTGGCAGGGGGGTTGGACTCGATGATCTCTGGAGGTCCCTTCCAACCCCTACAATTCTGTGATTCTAATTTTATTTTCCAATTCATTTTGTATGATATTTGTGCAGATGCTCTATATGGACTGATACAGAAATAAGTTAGAAAGGAAAAGATAAAATGTGTGCAAATGTGGAAAGTGTTTTCTAATGCTCTGACTTAAAATTCAGACTTTCTTGCAAGCTTCCTCTCTACTCTTAGTTTTTCTTCATTAATAAGATATTTTGGTATGAATAGGGTTTTTTCCCTACTCCATTCAGGTATCAAATTTCTTTGTTCCTTACCTTCCCCTTGAAAGCAAAGAGAAGAAGCTGCTTATATTTGAGCCTATTTTGAAACTCTGTACTGGCACTTCAAATAAACGAAGCCAGTTCCTCAGTGAATGAAAGGTGGAGTAAAAATTATTAGTAAGGTTCTTATTGACTCAGCGTGGCTTCAACATAACAGGAACCACAACAGCTAATTAGATTTCATATACGGAGACTTATGCAAGGTTTTTGCTATGCAGTGACTGTCCAACGATGATACTGTTGTAAAGGAAAAAGGCTCACACCAAAAGATTTACTTAACTTAAAAAGAGCTTTACTCTTTAAACAAAACATTCTCCATAAACATTAAATATAGGCATTAAACATAGACTTCCTTTTATTTAACGCAGCAATAAAGTTCAAGAGGAGTCCTTAGCCTATTACTGATTGTTTACTCCCATATTAACAGAGACACAAAGGACAATTTCAGCCAGCAGGTGTTCAGAAATGCTTATTATAATATTAACAGACTCACAGTGGAACTTACTGAAAGGACAAAACCCCTTTCATTACTTTGTCAGTAGCTTTATTTTCCACTGCAGTCATGGAGGCTGTACACAGTGACATATTTTAGTGGAATATTTCAGTATTTAAAAGAAAGATTTTTTTCTGACTGTGTATACATTATACACATATACATACACATTTTCCGTGAATGTTCAGTTCCTGGGACTTGCTGGCATGTTCATTCTCTCAAAATGAGTTTCAAATATGCAAGTGCATGTCAGCATGGAAGCTGAATGTTGAAAACCAAAAGCTGCTGGGAGGATGGTGGGCATGGAAGCAGTGTCATGTGAATTATCCAAATAGTTACAAAGCAACTGAAGAGTCTAATGATTGGAAGGAACTTCTTTGCCCATGATCTAGTGAGGGTAATATCTCGTGTCTGTGAAATGATCTTAAATTAGAGCAGCTGAAAGAAGTATCTGAAAGAAGTATAATTTGCTCATGCACACTCTATTACTAGAAAAGAAAACTAAATTAGACTTTGTTTTTTCCTAATTAGTTGCTCAACTCAATCTCTGCCTTCAGTCCTCTGTCTTCACTTGGTGATATCTGAATCCTTTGCCAGTGACCTCACAGTCAATGACTGGTGAGGACATGCACTTGGCTACACAACTTCATTGAAAGATTAGATTTGATAGTTGTGAAAGGGAAAAACATTCATTTACTTCTTGTGAAAGTTAAAGTTTTCTTTTGAATTTGTCTCTAGCATGGTCAAGGAGATGTTCCAGAAAAAATATTTATTTAGATTTTATTATGTGCTGTGGAAAAAAAATATTTGTGAGCCAAAAGTTTCATATTTTTATAGTTCTTTAGATGACAATCACATGTTCTTTGGCAGTTACCAAAAATGTCTGTAAAGGGCTATAGATACATATAATACGCAAAAAATATGTATGAAAAATATAATAGACCATAGATTTGTAAAAATATCCAATATTTGGTAAAATGAACCAGTGTAAATCGTAGATATCTATCTTTTACAATTTCAATTAGAAAGGTTTATTTTTTTTTTCTTAACCTGATAAATTTAATCCTTGCAGTTTAATTTTTAATTTCTATAAATCCATACATATACACCCAAATTAATGTTTCTAGCAAAATTTTCTGTAGATTATAATTCCTACTAACCTTTATAGCTTCTGACCATTTTGTCAGGGAACCCATGTAGTAACCTACTCAGCATCATAATTCTGTAGTGAAAATTTTCTTCTGAATCACAGTGCTTTCTTCTTTTCATTCCAGCTTGGTGAACTGATAGAAACATCAATATCCTTTTTATTTTTTCTCCTCATTTGTGTGGAAGATGTACCCTATACTGTACAAGTCTTATGCCACCCTCGTCATGTGAGTGAAAGAAAAAATGAAATGCCAAATGGGGAATGTCTATCCCGTCTATTAAATGGCAGCATTCAGGCTAGCTGTATAGTGCACACTTTCTGACATGCTTCAGTGTTTAACTGAGGGCCACAAATGGAGTTGTTAGAAAAGGTCTTTGAGCCAGTCACACATTTGGTACAACAGAATAGTAGTTACTCCTGAGTTCTCAAAGAGGAGTGAATCATTTAGAAGTTAATTGTGATGACTCTTTATGTCTTTCATCTCCTTTTCTGAGCTAGTTTAAAAGATTCAATAAATATTATAAATATTATAAATATTTCTAAATGCACAATGTTCAAATAGAACCAGATTGGGAATAAAATCAAATTAGTTTTCTTTGTTGTTTTTTTTTTTTTTTTTTTTCCTGTCTTTAGAGGTTTCACTTATTCATAATAGTTTTGAGAAATTCATTCAGTACAATTCAGAGGTTGTTCCCTGTTAAGAATTTTCCCTCCTTTCCTTTTATTGGCCCCATTTCTCCCACACACAAATCCACAGAACCACAGATGCTCCATTACAATGATGTCAGTCTTGCTACATGCTCCAGCTGTTTCGTAGGTGCATTTATAAAGTTCAACCTTTTACGTATGCCATAAATGTATATTTCATGTATAAACATAAAGCTAACACACTGCAGATCACTCTAAGTGTAATTTTAATGGAGGTTTAGTAAGTTTAAAAAATACTGAGAAGTGTTTAATCTTTCTGTTGGCAACATTTTTATAGCAGGTTTTCCAATTTTTTTTTTTCTTTCTGGAGCTAAGTTCAAATATTCCCCACCCCTTCCACAATTTCATTTTATGTGATTTTTGGAAGATGCAGGCAGTTATTTTAGTGAGACAATACGTATTTTACATAACAATATCTGAGGAAAAATGTTTCTCTCCACATCATCTTGGTCCTCAAACCCTCAGTCAAGATTCTATGCATTTAGCAGTATACCACACTGAAAAACACCTAGTTCCTGGAACATTCAGATTTCACAGATTCTTGAGTATTGGCAGAAATTGTAAATACTGCATATAAATTCTGATCAAAAGTTTTAAGAAATTATTAAAAATTGTCTCTGAACATTAAAGCTTTTTTTTTTTTTTTCTCCTTGTGTTCTGAATTTCAAAGAAACGTTTAAACAGTGCCTCTTTGGCCCTTCAACCATCCTCTTTTCTCTTTGTGAGTGCTGAAGAATTCAGCTCATTGCAGCTATGTGGACCATTAAACTGTGCCCACAGGTTCCTTCCCTGGTCTCCCCTGGGTGCTTTCCTTCTTACAACCAGTATCTTTATTTCTCTCTCTCTCCCTTTCAGTTGCATACTTTTTCTTAATTTGATTGTAGTCCTGAGTTATCACCATATTTGTACCATATAATTGGCATTATTCTAAAATAAATCTCCCCACTTATAAAGATTTTGAGGTTTAATCTCTGTTTTATTGGCCTAGAAATAAAATGAGTCTCAGGAGGCCAGATGAAAGCTGTTTCAACAATTCATGTTGCTTCATGCCATGCAAGATGCAGAGTGAATAAAGCCCCTGACGTGATTCTAGAGGTGATAAGTGGGACTTGGAGCTATTACCATCTGGTTGCAGAAGAGCCTGCTTTATTTTTGCTGATTGGTTTCATGTGTACTTGATAATTCCAGATCATAAATACATAGCTAGTTTTTAATTATGGAGAAAAGATTCAGTATCGAAGGAAAGAAAAAGAAGATAAGTTCCTTGGCTATTCAGCTATGTTCCAATTCCAGGTATTAGGCATTAACACAGCATCAGAATTAACCTGTCTGTTCCATTCCACCTGTGTACCAGCCATTATGTGCATCTCAAAATGCGTGAGTATATTCCATCAGCTGAGCAAAGCATTGCCCAAGACTCTTTTCTTCTACAAGGTTTAGAGATTTAGTACAATATGTGAAGTCAATGAGATTTGTGACTGTAACACAGTATTATTGACAGGCTCAAAATACCTTAATAACACTTGTTGCTAAGAAATATTGAAAATATTACCATTAATTATTTTTTTTTAATTTGCAGGTCCTTTGTAATCCAGCAAATCCCGAGCAGCAATCTCTTTATGGTGGTAGTAGATAACGAATGCTTCTGTGATTCTGTCCCACCAATTACCATGGCGCCTATAGAAATAAGATATATCCTTTTATTTGCATAGTTGTCAAGAAAAGATTCAAGATGTAAACACTGAAAATGTTCTTCTTACATAAAGTGACTTAAGAACTTCAAAGAATGCATCACAGCTGGGGCTGGTTGAAATTAAGCCAGCTGAGAATGCATTCTTACTTACTTTCAAGGAGAATTCACATGTTTAGATATTTAGGACAGCCAGTAAAATTTAAGCAAATACACTTATATGCATTTTTTAAGTATCAGAAGGTCATAGTCTCTATTTTTAGGCAGTGGGACTTCATTCACTTTATGAACTAAGTACGTAAGTTCCTTCTGAGAGTAGAAATCCTGGTATTAGAACTTCTGAAATCTCTGATTGTATAAGCATTTTAAGACTAGGCTGGAGCATTGAAACCATTTCAGAATCCTGCTTTCCAAATGTATAAAAAATTAACAAACTGAAGATAGCAATTGATTTTTAGCTGTCATACTTTTTATTCTGTGCTGTTCTGTGTACTTCAGGATTTGTTTTTTCTAATGAGTTGGAATTTATCAAAAGCAGTGTGCTTTTATTACAGACGTTATTTAAAGACAGATTAATAGTGTTAGTGCAAATGATACTGTCTGAACAATGGACTGCTGAGGAGAAAGCCATAGAATTACATTATTATTCTTGTGTTGACCACACACCTCACCTTGGATCTTTGAATGAAAGAAAAATGTGAGGAGTTGAAAGATTTTCCCTGCGTGCATTTCAAAGCACTCAAATGAACTCAGGATATTTAAATGCAACGTTCAGAAGATTTCTCCTTAATTACATCGTACATAATGAATCCCTTAAGTGTGAACGTTTAAAATCTCAGAAGATAAGAAGACGCCCAGAATCTTGCCATGGATTTCACCCTGAAGTAAGTTTCTACTTTTTTATTATTATTATTTTAGTCTCTAGTAGAAGTTGTATTCCTTTTAAAAAAAGGCAAATAGGAAAGCTGTCTTATAACATGAAATACTCATCAGAAAATATTTGGAGTACTCAGAACACTTTACTAAAGGAAGCAAGTGGTATTGTAAGCGTAGAAAAAATTTTTAGTACTCCTGTAGACAGTGTTTTGTCTTGTTACTTTTGTAGACTGTTTTATGTCATGTAATAGAATGTGGTAGACATGAGCACAGATTGGTAGCCAGGAATATGGCAGCTAATTTTGCCTGAGCACTCATTGCAGGATTCCTCATTAGAGATGGCTGGGAACCTTAGTTAGTGTTAGTTAATTAGTGTTTTCTATTTCGGAAACTAACTCCACAATATCAGGTGTGATGGAATATTCATCATATTTACACATAGTATTTCTTGGGACAGGTCACTACACTACATTTACCACCTTGTGTTCTCCATAGCACTGATGGACAGTAAGGAGATCTGATAGACAACAGGACACAATTACAGTGATTTCTGCAGTAGATGAGACACCTGTTTTACACAAAAGTAATTTTTAGTGCCTCTGGTTCTGTAATGGAATGTAGAATGAGACCTAAAATGTTGCATGGAGGACACTGTATGATTCTTGTTGATCCTGGTTGCTTTTAGTCTGCAGCTAACTTGCTGAAATGAAAATGATACTTGTGTTATTTTTTGAGTATATTTATTTCACGGTTTTTGTGGTTTGTATCAATCATCTTCTGCTTATGCAGTTTCATAAATTCTCATATATCATAATTGGAAGTCTTGGCTTGTATTTATTTTTTTTTTTTCTTTTCTTTTCTTTTTTCCTCTTCAGGAAAATGCAAGAGAATGTGGTGGTGTCCCAGGTCTTAGTGCTAAGCCTCCTTTTGTTATTCTTCCTCTGCTATTGACAATTTTCTCAAGGTGACATTGACTGATGTGTTCAATTGGCATGCTAATACATGGATAAACTGTGAACTGGGAAATGGTGCAACATAGAGGATATGAAATATAGTCAGAGCATCAGCATTTCATGATTTTAAACTGTAGGTGATATAAATTCTTAAAGATGTGTTGAAAAAAAAAAAAGATTTATCTTTTTACTTTGCTAGTCATGCAGATGTGAATTTGGCATATGGTAGTTATGATTCATCAAAAAAGGACTTGGTAGATAGAGATGATCATTGCTTTGTCCCATTGAAAATAATTTAAAATGGTGTACTTTTTCAATAAAGTATATTAAAATCACAGTTTCAGAGTGCATTTTAACTCCAATAATACATTTGTTCAATTAATTGATAATGGGAAGGGAATAAACTAAGCCAAATATGTTTTTCTTATGCTCTTAGCCTCTTTCTGAAAAGATAACAAAAAGAAAATGTGGAGTTAGCTTTTATAATAAGGCAGAATAGCTTTTATTAAGTCAAGGAAACACATGTGCATATATGAAGCTGAGCAGGTAATAGACTGTGTTGATTTATAGTGAAGTTTTGCTTTCTGGAAATAGCTATAAAATATCTTAGTCACATTTTAGAGAGTGAGCCAAAGCCCGATTAAAGCCTTTTCCCTAACTTGGGCAAGCTTTACATCAGATCATTTGATTTGGTTACATATGGCAAAATTAAATACTTTCATCTGTTACAATTTGTAATGTGTATAAAAGGATGATACTGTTCTGTTAGTATTCTGCCTTACAGAGAGCGAGTCAGCTAGGACTTGCTGGAAATTCATAAGCAGAGAAAGCTTGACTTGCAACGCATCTGTGTCAGCAGAAATTGTTATGGCTTTCGCTGAGAATCCATTGAGGCTTAGCCTCACTGGGCAAAGACCAATCTTTCTTAATTCTTGGCCTTATGTTCTTCCACATAAGGGAAATAAGAAGATAAAGGAAACAAGTTCTTGCTGTCTTTAAAAGCTCTGCACAAAGACTGCTATTTATCCTACCCATTGTAAAATGAATTTTTTCTTGCTGTTGGTAGTAATGTCCCTATTACGGATGTGTTTGTTGAAGATCTTGATCTTTGAGATATGTTAATCTCTGGTTTATGTTTGGATTTTTATCTGAGGTAGAGCTCTGTCAAGAGAATAGCCCTGCTCAGCCATCAGCTTCTAACAGTGCATTGCATTAGATACAAAATAAAATGATGCTGTTCTAAATCTGATCTAGAAAACTGCAGTTTCCTAACTGGAAGTAAGAATGCTTTTAACATTAAGCTATGTATTCTAGGTGAGAGCAGGGGACAAATGTTGCTGGGAGAGAGACTTTATCTTAAACATGACCACGCTGCTAGTAGGAGGAAGACTAGTAAAAGAGAATTTCCACTGAATGCTTTAATGGGTTCAAATACACTGGTACTTCCCTCTGGGTTCTGTTACTGATCTGCAAAGATCAAGGCATTCTCTACACTCGAATTGACACAGATATTGTGCAGATATTTGTTGTGTTTTTTTATCATCTTCCATTATTCTCTCAAAAATTAATCTCAGTACTTTATTAATAGTATTCCAGTTTCTGATCTTCCTTCTGAGTTTCCAGAATGCACGATGCTACATCTTTCTAATGTTTTTGTATGTCTGATCCTTGTTTTTTCTCAGCGCAAGTGAAATGGGTAATGCTTATATAGGTGGTTATTCCTTGTTAGTAAAAGTAAACAAGAAATCTTTCTTACTAGAGACATTGAAACATTCTGCACAAAAAATGTTTATTCTGACTGATGTGCAAATCATCATTGCTTACAGAGAAAAGAAAGCTATTGTAGGAGAAACTTTATTTCTGCTGAACCAAGATGGAAATACCTAATATTTTATTCTTTAGTTTCAGAAAGAGGAGGCAGTTTTCTAACTAGGATGGAGCAAGAGAGTAACAAAAGAGATTAAGATGTGACAGTGTTATTAAAGAGATGAAAATATGAGTGTATAAATGAACATTGCTCAGAAAAACTGTGGCAGTTTATTCTCATGAAGTAAGAAACTTACACAGGCAAAATGTACTGGTGTACAGAAGTCAGTGTTTAAACAATGATACAAAAAAAATTGGTAAGTGTAAAATCGTATTTCATTAGTTGTCATTTCTTTGTTAATGAAGACATCATTCTAATTTTGAATTAATTCTCATTGAACTTTATGAACCTGAATTTACCATGCATCAGAAAGTCAGTGGTTGAAGAAGATTTTGCTTTGGGTTCAGATCTCTGGATCCTTGCATGTCCCTCTATTCAGCTGAGCAGGACTGGTCAATAACATCTAGGTTGATTTTTGTATTGTCACCATCAATCATGAGTGCATGAAACAGACAAACAGAAGTATGGTGATAATGCTGTGAGATCTCTTAATTATTTGATCTAATTGGCTGCATCTATTATTAATATAGTACTAGAGATGTCTCAGCCTTCAGCTCAGAGCAGCTTCCATACAAACTGCCTATGTCCAAACACAGAAATGATGATAATGAGTTTTCTGGGATAGAACTAGCTGACACAGGCAGAAAGCATGCCACGGGCTATTTGAATCAGGTTTACAGAAAAGCTGATCTCATTTTAATGCACAGGAATGTTCCTGTCTGTTGAACTTACCCTTCTGTACGTGGTCATTAGCTCTGAAACATAGAGAAAGTGTGAAGATGTGGTGAAGTGGTTCTGTGCTGTCAAACCATTGCTTATAGCAGGTCATAGAAGGTGAAATTAGATTTCATAACCTCACTAATCCTAAATGCTGCTACTTTCAAATCCTAAAAATGTCATGCAAGGTCTGATCCAAAGCTCAGTGCAGTGAACAAAAAACAGATGTATAGCTATGCATATATACAGCTGCCTATATGAAACTCTATGCATTTTTTAATAAACAGGAAATTCAGACATCATCCATAGTTTTTATCTCTCTAAATCTGAAGTCAAACTCAAACAGAACCAGGAGAACTGTACAATGTGTTTCTACACAGCAAGAGGCATAGTTGAAAGCTTTGGCTTCTACAGGGGTTGAATTCTCTTTTTTTTTTTTTCTTTTTTTTCTTTTTTTCTTTTCTGCTCTCTTTGGTAATGGCATTGATTTTCAACTTATTAACCCCAGCTGCCTCATCTTCCTTTAATCTTGATACAACAAAAGATGTTTGGGAGCTCAGGACCAGGCACGGATACACCATTTTCAAATGGCTTTGTGTGGGGAAACTGACTGCCCATAACTGTCAGTGCTGCAAACACACCTCTAAAATCCTGTAAGTCAGAGAGCCTAGGGCAGGTTTTTGCAGCTGTGCTCTCTCTTCTCATTGTCTCCATGACACTGAGACTGCCTGACCTACTCCATTTTGCTGCCAGGGCTGATTCTGCAATATATATGCTCGGCAAAGCAGGTGATTGCCTAAGGCAGGAAGATATTGAAAGCAGCGGTGATTTTCCCCCCCTCATTGTGTAAATGGCTTCAAGAGACTGGTTTGGTTTTCTTCTGATAGCAAGAGCCCCAGAACAAGGCACTGGTCTGTTTATCCCTTTGGGTGCAGAAGGCAAGTTTGGCTCAGAAAGTCTGAGGCTAGAATAAGGCAGTTATTTCCATTTGCCTCTGGCCTCCAAGGACTTTTACATCCTGGCACTTTCTGTGCCTCACAGATTCCCACTCATGCAACTTTAATGTAAATAGGCATTCACAATTGGAAAGTTTTCCACAGAACAGTGCTTCATAATCTTGCAACTGTGGAAAATATTAAGATTACTTTATTTTCCTGCCTGATTATTCTGTTCCCTGAGCTGTCCAAGATCCTTCCACTAGTATGTTTTTTTCTTCTTGTCCAAATTCTTCCCCGTGGTTCTGAATTTTTCAAGTATGTATTTAGCTGTCTTGCTATTTATCTGGTTTACAACAGTGCACTCTCTGACAGGCCCAGCTCCCATGTATGTACTTAGAATGAGAGATATGGTTCCCATATATAGCATCTACAGAAGATCTCACTGGAGTTTATCACTTACAGTCCACTCTGAAGGCAGTTTTCTCTCATCATTAGCTTTTGGCCATTAGGCTCAGATCCTATTTCTGCCAATATAACGTTTTTTTTTCTTCCTGTAGCTCCTTGGGAGGATTTACATCATCTTCAAAAGTCAGCTCTTTGTTTCTTCCCAATGGTATTCTTGAAGCTGGTTGTTACAACTTGGATATACTGAATCATACTGCAATTTTGTGATGCTCTGAGTGAAAGGATATGTTTCCAGTTATTTCAGAGTTTTTTCCTCCTCCTTCCCATATTGACTAGTCAAAGAATTAAATGTTATTTTATTGTTTGTATTTCCAGTAAAAGTTATTTTAAATCTCCATAGCTCTGACTAGCAGATGTTTTGAAGAATTTCAAAGCCCGCTGTTCATCAAGAAACCACTGACTTTCTCATTGACATTTTTTCTATCAGAAGTGGAACTAGTAGCACTTTTACACTATACTTCACTTAGATCTAGGTTAAAGCCTTTCCATAACAAGTATCATAAAATATATGCAGTATATTTTAAAAATCATACCATTCATAATATTTGTGGAAAGCTAGATGACTTTCAATAATCAGTTTTAAGAATATGAAACTTCACTTCCAGGATTAGATATAACTGAAATTAGAGTAAGCATGGTATGTTCTCCCACCGTGAAGGTTATTATATTTATCTATATAGGTATTTTACTTATCTAATAACTTCCTTTATTTCTTTTTTTTTTTTTTTTTTTTTTTTTTTTTTAAGAAATCCTTAAATAAACAGAGAAAAATAATTAGAGGCTGGTATCTAAATTTTAAATGATTTTCTGCAAAGTCTGTAGGTGGCCATATTTATGACTAGCCAGTAGAGATTTGAGCTGATCTGACCATCCAAGGTATGAGATGTTGAAATCTTAACAATACTTTTTCCATTTCCTCCTGGTTAACAGATTTAGTCATTGTTTTGGCAGATAGAGCCAGGCAATTGTGTTTATGCCAAGCTGCTGTACAACACCTCACCCACCAAGTGTCAAAAGCTCACTTGTTCTCTGCTCTGCTGCTGAGAGTTTCTGGCAACATAAGAATCTGTGCACAGATTGTCTATGCACAGATTTGTAGCTACTT